ACCCCTGACTTATGTTGATTTGGGGTTATGCAGGGGCAGCTAAGGTAGAAAAGCACGTCCTCCTATGCCGTGTCTTCAGGGTTCCAAGGGTCTGGAAAGTGGTTCCATAGCCAGTTACAGGGTTGCCAACTCTGGGTTGGGAAATACCTGTAGATCTGAGGGGTAGAGCCTGGGGAGGAGAGAGTTTGGGGTGCGGAGGGACCTCAGCAGGGTATAATTCCATAGAGTCCATTGCCCAAAGCAGCCATTCTCTCCGGGAGAACTGATCTTGGAGATCTCCAGATGCTGCCTGGAGACTGGCAATACTAAGGGAAGGGTTTGGGGTGCAGAGGGACTTCAGCAGGGTATAATGCCATAGAGTCCACTGCCCAAAACAGCCATTGTAATAGTAGCGGAAATGATGTGCTGTGGCTGGGGAACACAGTGCTTTCTGGGAGATTTCCAGGCCCCACAGGGAGACTGGTAACTCCAGTGACCGTTTAAGGGAAGATTGGGATATGTATTTTGACAGCTCCAGTGACCATTTAAGGGGAAACTGGGATATGTATTTTACCTCAGGACATATTATTTATTTATTTATTTATTACTTCGATTTGATATACCACAACAACAAATTGTTTAGAATGTTAGAGGCAAAGGCCAATCAGGCCACATATGCAAATGACCTGTGTTCTGACTGGCTATGGGGGGGAGAGGAACAGCAAACTGTTTAGAATGTTGGAGGAAGCACCTGGGCAACCCCGCCAGGGGAAAAGGAGACACAGATCAGGGAGCCAACAGATTTGGGAGCATGTGGAATGTTCAGGAGAGCCCATGACCAAAACAGGATTATATATAAGGAGAGATTTAATCAAATTTATACCCTGCCCTCCCAGCCATGGCCGGCTCAGGGCGGCTTACAGAAGAATAAGGGCAGCAATAAATAATATAATGATCATAAAACCATAAAACAATTACAACATTAAAAGGTGCTAACCAATAATAATCCAAATGCCATTAAACAGATAACGATTTAACATTACATTTAGGATGACGTTCAAACTTCAGTGCCTTCGTAGTGGTCAATCCCGATCTAATATTGTGCAGCTGGCTCAGGCTGCTTTAAAAAGTACAGGGGGCAGCGTCCCCCCCCCCCCGGGGCGGCTCCTATATTCTTATGTAGTCCTCTGCTGTATAGCTGAGCTCTTGGGGACTGAGCAAAGCGGGCAGGTGGACTGTGGCTACCCCAAGGCGCTTGGAGGACAGGTAGCTCCATTCAGACATAACACTGAGCCACGGCTTGGGAGCCGGGAGCAACGCTTGTGGATATATCTGTGGAACACATCCCATTGTTCATGAGTGGATTTTCGCCTCCATTTCCTTGTAAGTCTGCTGCAATGTCTGGACCTAGAATCTGTGGCTACTGCCATGCTTGCATGCTATGAACTGAAGCCATAGTTTGCATTTGCACAACAGGGCAAATGATAGTTAGTAGCAACCAGGAAGTGGGGAGGAGAAGGCAGCTGGAGAGGTGCTCCCAGGCCACAGCTTGCTTGCCACTAAAAGAAGTCTAAGGGTGGTACTGGCTACCATACCAGTGGGCCGCTGGGGTGCAGAGATGGGAGGAGCCACCCTCCCATAGGAAAATCTCCCCAAGTCCTAAAAATAAAACCTGAACACATCGCGGCCAGCAGAGTGGAAATCTGCAGCTGCAGGAAACCCTTCCACGAATGTGGGGGATTCCACTGAAATGAGCTCGGGATCCTTTCAGTCTGCTCTTTACGCGTCATCTGACACATTCATCACTACTGCCCAAATGCCTCGCGTACCACATTTAACAATCAGCAGCAACAAGCTCCTACGGTAGTTCATGATGCTAAGCCGGCAATGCAGCCCTCACTCGCCCATAGTGAAACACTCTTGCCGAGGAAAGAGATAGTGAAAACATGCTCTAACACAATACGGAACACAATTTAAGAACATCAGATGAGCCTTGCGGGATCAGACCAGTGGTTCATCCAGTCCAGCATCCTGATTCACACAGTGGCTAACCAGTTCCTCTGGAGGGCCAACAACAGGGCAGAGAGGCCAAGGCCTTCATAAGAACATCAGAAGAGCCCTGCTGGATCAGACCAGTGGGGGTCCATCTAATCTAGCATCCCATCTCACACAGTGGCCAACCATCTCCTCTGGAGGACCAGCAACAGGGCAGAGAGGCCGAGGCCTTCCCTTGATGTTGCCTCCTGGAGGTTCCCCTCAGCCACCATGGCCAGTAGCCACTGATAGACTTAGCCTCCATGGATCTATCTAATCCCCTTTGAAAGCTGTTTATTCCTACGGCCATCACTACATCCTCTGGCAGCAAAGTCCACATTTTAATCACTCTCTGTGTAAAGAAGTATTCCCTTTTGTCCATCCTGAACCTCCTGCCCATCAGCTTCATTGGATGTCCTCGAGTGCTCGTCGTTTGGGAGAGGGAGGAAAAGTTCTCCTTGTCCACTCTCTCCACCCCGTGCATCATTTTAGAAACCTCTCTCATGTTCCCCTCCCCCCTTAGTTGTCTCTTTTCTAAACTGAAAAGTCCCCGACTCTTCAGCCTCTCCTCAAGGGGGAGGTGCTCCAACCCCCTAATTTAGTGCTATGATTGATAACAATTTATTCTAAACACCCAAGAAGCAAGATTAATACCTGTCGAATGTAACATTTCATGACATGGGAGCTATTGTTACATGATCAAGATATATCACGCATTGGGGGGGGGGGAGATAAATACCTGCTTCTAATCCATGCAAAGCCCCACTGGAGACACCAATGAACTAAGTTGCTGTTGCGTTTGGGCTGCCTCCCTCCATGAAGAGACCCAGAGACCCCTGATTAGGGCAAACGGCTAAATCATGAAAAATGCATCCATACCCTGCTCTTCACCCTTGCCGAAATGTTTCACTTCACCACTCATTTTTATTTGATTGTTATCCCCTCCCCCCCAAAAAATAATAATAAGCCAATGCTGAGCTCAGCCTGTAACCTGACTTTGTAATGCTAATTCTGGAGGCCTGAGGTTATAGTTAATCCTCAGAATTCCCAAATACACATGCCTACTTTTGCCAGTGAGTTCACTTCTGGTTTTTTTGGGGAGGGAATACCAGTAGGGCAAAATATATGATTCTGTGGAGGTATGATCGCAGGAGCGAGAAGAAGAAGAGAAGAGATTGGATTTATACCCCGCCCTTCACTACCCAAAGGTGTCTCAGAGCGGCTTACAAACTCCTTTCCCTTCCCCTCCCCACCACAGACACCCCCTGTGAGGTAGGTGGGGCTGGGAGAGCTCTGACAGAAACTGCTCTTTTTCAAGGACAGCTCTTGTCAGAACTACGGCTTGCCCAAGGTCATCCAGCAGGTGCAAGTGGAGGAGGAGTGGGGAATCAAACCCGGTTCTCCCAGATTAGAGTCCGCGCACTTAACCACTACACCAAACTGGCTCCAAAGAAATGCAAACCGGAGCTACTGAACAATTGGGTCTCTTACTCACCATGGTGGCTCATGACTTGCCCTGCGGCTTCCATACTGACATTCTGAAGGTAGTTGTGACACCGTTCCTTGTGCTCCTCCAGAGAGCTGCGCTGCTTGTAACTCCGTCCGCAGTAGTTGCATTTGTGAGGTTTACCCACTATGGAAAGAGCAGAGGGCGTCGTGTTAAGTCAGTGTCACCGCCATGGTCGCCCGCGGCATCCTGATAGCCCGCCTACAAAAGGTTATTCCACCCCCTTGCTCCTTTTCTCAGCCTTACTGCACCACTGCCCTAGCGATCGTTCAGCCAACACCACGAACAGGCAGCTGACGGATGCAGCAAAACTACAGCGCCCGTACAAGCAGACGCACAACAGCAGAAACAAATCAATGTGCAACTTCAGGGACCCTTTCCTTTGCATCAAAAGGGTGAGGCGGATATTCCAAAACAAGACAGGGAGAAGATCCTCTGGCAAACTTTTACATTTGGGGAAGTATTTCTGGTGTACCAGAACTTACTTGACTACTACCTTTGACGGAAGTGACACACATCCTGATGAAATAGGATATTCGATACCAGAATAATTTGGAGAATTTGCACAGCTACTATCCGTGGTCCACTATACAAACTTGTAGCAAATGCAAAGCATAGAAGAAAGAAACATTTTGCCATATATATATATATATACAAAATTCTTTATGCATGTATTTATGGATGTGTGCCACTGGGGAAGGCCCGAAGGGGCCGAAACACGTATGGTCCTTAGGTCATAAGTTTTACTCATCAATTGGATATGTATAACAATCAGCTTTGATGATATAAGCTTTAAGAGTCTGATATTTAGACTATCTCTTTTAACCGTATGTATCTTTTAGTTATGTGTACACCCTAATAAACATTTGTATTTTTCATATAATTTATTTGTTAGCTTGACCCTCTTAGATCGCAGTACCAGTCGCGGTGGCCACGGACCTCTATCGCAGCACTGCCGGCAGTGGTCGGCAGCATAATGTTTGTAGTGCTTTGCCCAAGCAAGAACAGAGGCTGTTGTACAAACATAACGTCATAAGCTGTGTTGTTGCACCAGGAAAGAGAATCAGTTAGGATGCGATATCAGCACAGCAGCTGTGGACAGTGCACAAACCCCAAGCACCAAGAAGACAGAGCATCACTGGCCCATAAATAAGAACATCAGAGAAGCCATAATGGATCATGCCAATGGCCCCTCCAGTCCAACACTCTTCTGTGTCACACAATGGCCAAAACCCAGGGGCCATCAGGAGGTCCAGCAGTGGGGCCAGACCTCCAGGAGCCCTCCCACTCTTGCCCACCAAACACCAAGGATACAGAGCATCACTGCCCCAGACATAAGAACATAAGAGAAGCCATGTTGGATCAGACCAATGGCCCCTCCAGTCCAACACTCTGTGTCACACAGTGGCCAAAATCCAGGGGCCATCAGGAGGTCCACCAGCGGGGTTAGAACTCCAGGAGCCCTCCCACTCTTGCCCACCAAACACCAAGAATACAGAGCATCACTGCCCCAGACATAAGAACATCAGAGAAGCCATGTTGGATCAGACCAGTGGCCCCTCCAACACTCTGTGTCACACAGTGGCCAAAACCCAGGGGCCATCAGGAGGTCCACCAGTGGGGCCGGAGAGCATCCCTGCCCAAGACAGAGTGTTCCATCTGTATCTTGTGGCTAACAGCCACTAGTGGACCTCTGCTCCATTTGTTTATCCAGAAGCTGCTTGTCTATGGGCCTTGGAAGTTCTTGCAAAAAACCATGACACAAAATTGTCTTAATCAGTCCAATCTCAAAATAAAAACAATGTGTACATAAAACATATTTCTGCTCAAGGAAATGTTTAGAAGGAAACAAAATCCAGAATGAAATTTGTTGACCAAGCTGGCACGGCACGTAAGAGAAGACTGGGGAAATGCTTTGGGTTTAGCGTATCCAGAGTCCCGTGAAAGATGAAGAATTACAGAAAACCCATTTGAGACCAAGGTCAACTTTCAGGGGACGAGAGGAAACAGCATGACCCAAGTTCTGTGAAACAACCTTCAGAGCCACCTTTAAGATCTAATTTTAAAGCACAGGGTGTAAACTACGCGTCCTCTGCTTTTGGATTTCATGGGGGGGGGAGTGAACGTCCCCCATGAGGAATGTGCATTCTGTCCCTGCATTGGGAAGAAACACCTCTCTCTACATAGGATACACACATCTCCCCTCTTTGTATCAAACCCAGAAGAGGGTCACAGCATCCACAACACTTTCACCTGACAAAGGAATGCCCGAGTGAACGTCCCCCACGAGGAATGTGCATTCTGTCCCTGCATGGGGAAGAAACACCTCTCTCCACATATGATACGCACATCTCCCCCTCTTTGTATCAAACCCAGAAGTGGGGTCACAGCATCTACAACACTTTCACCTGACAAAGGAATGCCCAAAATAGCCCTGATCTAGAATAGATCATTTCCGAATGTGACAAAACAGTACAGAAAACGGGAACTGCTTTTGAAATCTACAAAGATAAAAACCTTAAGAAAGAAAAGAAAGTAAGAAAATGATCATAGATACTCTTTAGATTAGGATTTTCACATTTATTTCTGGCCGTTCCAGTGCAGACTACCACGCAATGTCAACGGCATCTGGCACTGTAAGGAAGATTAGACTGACTTCCTGTACCTGTCAGAGTTGTAGTGGCCAAACAAACTAGGACTCTTAACAGGATACCACGTGTGTCTCGAGCGGAGGAACCCTTCACTCAGTCCCTTTGCCTCTCTGATACTGTGTGGATTTCACTGGATGGTAAAATGACTGCTAAAGCCCAAACTTCTGGTTTCATATTTAATGAAGTGAATCATCAGTACCCTGCAACAGGGATGCTTGTCACATCAAGGATGATCCTAAATTGGTAGCATTTTGGTGCTGGGGAGAGTCACAACTATTGTGAAGGGTGACCTGATTTTTGTTTGTTTGCTCTACAACACAAATTCTAAATTGCTTTAAATGTGAATCAAATATAAGTCGTGTGTCTTGAGCGGAGGAAACCTTCACTCAGTCCCTTTGCCTCTCTGCCACTGTGTGGATTTCATTGGATGGAAAAATGACTGCTAAAGCCCAAACTTCTGGTTTCATATTTAATGAAGTGAATCATCAGTACCCTGCAACAGGGATGCTTGTCACATCAAGGATGATCCTAAATTGGTAGCATTTTGGTGCTGGGGAGAGTCACAACTATTGTGAAGGGTGACCTGATTTTTGTTTGTTTGCTCTACAACACAAATTCTAAATTGCTTTAAATGTGAATCAAATATAAGATGTTTTATAATACAAGTCTAGAGGAGCTGATGCATGCATTCCTTTTAAGCAAGTGACCATTTCTGCTCTTCAGTCACGGTTTTTGTCCCATGATTTTAACATTCTTCAGCCAAACAAAACCAGCCCTCAACTACCTAAATATTGTAACTGAAATTGCCCTCTTCTGGAGGTCGATCACGAATGAAACCCTGAGCAGCTCGGAGTGTGAGAGAAAAGAAACACACGTTCACTGCACAGATCCCAGCAGCGGATCACGAAACCACATTTCCAGCGGAGAAACAGTTCCAAGACCACATCCTGGGCTGCTCGGCCACGCAAGAAAGCCCCAACTTAGACATGAAACTCCAAAGCTCCGCATCAGGTTTGCAGGTGTCGTGTTATCACACCATCTATCTACTAAGCGCCCAACTGCAGAAACATTCGTGGGCTGCACAGCCACATCTGCCTGCCGACAAGGATAAAGAAACGGCTTCTGTTTACTGCCTGCGTCCCTGAGCATCCTGGCTGCTGCGTTCCAGGCAAAGAGGCTGGCAGCTCCCAGAGTGAGGGCCACCAGGTCTCCCTTCCAATGCAGGGAGGGGAGCTGGGAGCTAGAACTGGGCACATCAGGGTGGAACTTGGGAGGGGGAGAGGAGAGCCTGTCAGGGCCCGGAGGGGGCAGTGGATGGCCCTTGGCTTGCTGGGCAAACTTGGCTATGTGTCCTGCCTCTGGACTCTATGGCCATCTATACCAAACCCCACCCAATCTATACCAATCACCTTTACTGGCATAACAATAACTTCAAAACAACTCAATACAAATCAGCCCATATGCCAACCAAGAGAAACAATCGGAATACAGCGATTTGTCACACTGTATATAGTAATAATAATAGGGCAAAGTGATAAAAGTTTGGAACAGTAATTAAAACAGTCGCAGTCAGAAGCTTAACTATCCGAAGAGGAATCATAGATAACACCTTATCTCTCTCACTCACTCTCCACCTCCTTTCCTCTTTCTCTTGGCCCCTAACCCTAATGTGGAATCCACTGCCAGAGGATGTAGTGATGGCCACAGGAATAAACAGCTTCAAAAGGGGATTTGATAGACTCATGGATAACATCAAAGTGGCTATCAGTGGCTATTTGCCGTGGTGACTGAGGGGAACCTCCACATTCAGAAGCACTAAACCTCTGAATCCCAGAGCCAGGAGGCAACATCAGGGGAAGGCCTCGGCCTCCGTGCCCTGTCGTGGGCCCTCCAGAGGAACTGCCTGGCCACTGTGCGTGTGAGGCAGGAGGCTGGACTAGATGGACCCTCACTGGTCTGATCCAGCAGGGCTCTTCTGGTGTTCTTATCCCTGCCCACTGGCTTTCCTGGCGAGCACGCCACACAGAACCAGCGGTCAAGGAGGGCCCGGGAGCATCCTGCAACGCTGGCCCTCAAACCTGGTACCGGCACTTCCTCTCAGTAGCGCACACAGCCATAACGTCACCGTCCTGCCTACAGCCTATGGAGGTGTTTGGGATTACATCATCTCCTTTCCTTTCATTGGCGTAAGGCTCTTCTTTTTTTTTTTAACATCAAGGAATAGGCAGGCAATTTGCCAAGAGCTTGAGGGCCACAATTAATTTGAATATAAATCTTCGTTTACCGGAGGCACGCTGCCAAGATGTTTGCAGGAACCTGCACTTTCCTTGAGAGTATAAAGGGGCCTTCTTTGTTCTCTCCAGAAGCACTGAGGAGAGTGTTCATCGTGGAAGAGATGTTTATAAAGTAAGGAAGTTGCTACCTCAGCCGGAGGAATCCAAGGGGAGGGAAGTGGTCAGTTGGGGGCACTAAGAG